TTCTCTTATACACATCTAGATGTGTATAAGAGACAGCATATATACATATATATATCATCACATATATATACACATATATACATATATATACCGATCGGTATAGCAGACTATGTTATCGTTACCTCATGCTCTGTGAGGACGCAGGTTAGGGCAGGTGCAGTCAATTGATTTTTTCTTGGGAACGCCGTTCTTTTTCCCTCGAGAATCACCGTCATTGATTACCCAATGGCTCCCCTAACGATCCCTCCGGAGGACTGCCGCATCACCCGGTCTATGGGCCTCGCCTCACTACTCACCAAATGCATGTACAAAATGAGAATGAATATTCCTCTAGAACATGGAAAGATGCAGAGATCATTGTTGTCTGTTGTGCGTCTGGTGAGTAGTGCGGCGAGGTCCTATTATCCACACAGAGCATGTCGAAATTTTCCGTAAAAGCGGGTCCTCCTTTTATTCTTTCCTGTATTCCATGTTGTATTAGCCGTTAATGCGTTCCTGAGAATGGTCAACTAACCAATGGCCGTGGTCAACGTACGTTTGTTTGTTTGTTTGTTTGTTTGTTTGTTTGTTTGTTTGTTTGTCTGTTTAAAGGCTAATTCTTTCAAGCCCGACCAATTCAATTACCCGACGAATCTGGATAGGATGACCTTTCAGGCCTTTCTTTTATGGGTTAATTTCAAAAATATTGCTGTTTCGAAGTTTGGCAGCAAAAATGTCGTTCTCTGAGGTTTCCTTTGCAAAAATACATGTTTCGGTGCAGCTTTATCGTTTCCGGTAGTTTGCCAGCAAAAATAAAAATACCGCGTTTTGCCAAGTTTCACAGCAAAGGACCCCTAGGCCCCTGGCCTCAGGGACTCAGGGACCCAGCGTTCTGGCCTCAGGCACTCAGATTTTTTTTTTTGTTTTTGTTTTATTGCAGGTGTGGCTGAGACTGTCGCCACGCCGAGATGCCTCGGCCAGGTTTCTTGTGTTTTTTTTTTTTTTTGCGGCCGTGGCTTGGTATGTCGGCCGTGGGCACGCCCAGATGCATCGGCCAGGCCTGGAAAAAAAAAAACAAAAAAAAAAACAATGCTGAGTACCGGAACCCGACAAAGCTGCATTGAAACCTCTATTTTTGCAAAGGAAACGAACTGACGACATTTTTGCTGTCAAACTTAGAAACAGCAATATTTTTGCTATTAACCCTTCTTTGATTGATTTTCCATTTTCCTTTCTCTATTCTTCAAGTTTAACTGCTTTGTATGGGGTTGATTGGGGAGGGGGCCTTCAGAAATTCCTAGCGGCCTTTCGTGCAAGGAAGGGGTTTGGAATTTAGTCCTTAACCAGGCATGGACACGGTTCAGATTAACGAACTCGCACGTGTGTCATTGCCCCGATGGGCTCGATCCCGATCGTCTGCTGGCGGCTTGGGAATCCCCTGTACACTGTACAACTGGTCATCCTTTGACTGTGGCCTGAGCGTGGTGGGCATTTGTCTTTTTTGTACTGTTGGATGTATATGGTCGGCAGTTTCATTCACTGCTACCTGGTCGTGGTGAACGCTAGCCGGCTTCCCCCGAACATAACACACCCTGGTAATGACTGTGTGCAACTGCGGTCAGGTACATCCAAAATGACATTCGATGTGTTCGGGGGAAGACGGTAGCCGTTGTAAACTCCGTACGAGTGCTCTCTCGCCAACTTCCTGTGTGGTCCGTCCCGTCTGCATCTCTCTCAGCCTTCAATTGTCAGATTCATCACTGATTCGCTGTCTGTTCGTTAGGTCAGTCATCGTTTCTGACTGTTGGCTGGGTGTTTGCTTTCTCAGGAAGGAGTGGGTCAGATTCATCGCTGTCTGTTCGTTAGGTCAGTGATCGTTTTGACTGTTTGCTGGGTGTTTACTCTGTCAGGAAGGAGCGAGTCAGATTCATAACTGTCTGTTCGTTAGGTCAGTCATCGTTTCTGACTGTTTGCTGGGTGCTTACTCTTACTCTCTCAGGAAGGAGCGGCTCACCGTCTCCATTATTTGCCTCTCGTCCGTCGACGCTGTCTGTCTCTCTCTCGATCTCGTCGTGCCCACTAGGTGCTACAAGGCACGACGCTCTCTCTCTCTTGGTCTCGTCGTTCCCACTGGGTGCTACAAGCCACGAAGTATGTCTTTGGGAGAAGGGTTTGCTGGCACTTGGCACTGTTGGCAGTGTCTTTGGGAGACGGGTTTGCTGGCGCTTGGCACTGTTGATAGGCAGCCACACGTTCCATGCTCCTGAGTGTCGAAGAAATTCCCCCCCAAAAAAAAGTAATAAAGAAAAGAAAAAACTGCGCCTGTGACCGCTGCACAGTTCAGAATTCGCAGAAATAACAGTCCGCTGCAAGATTGGGCCGTGAGCAGTTCGAAACAGCAAAAAAAACGGTGCACTGCGCGTTAGACGGCCTACCGGTTCGATAACGGGCAAAACCGGGAGGTGGCCTGTGCTAACAGGTACCCGGAGCAGGCCCTCCCGTTTTTTTTAATTTTTTTATTTTCTCCTTTTTGGCTTCTGGCGGGAATGGGTTCGGGCTCCAAAATGATCCCACTTTGTCAGTACGTCCCGCCCCATTCTCTCTCTAAGAAATGTATGTGGTTCATTCTTTGCGCCAGATACATTCGCATGTTTTTTTTTTTGGACATGCTGATCTTCTCTGTGTAGTTCCAATCCTCTCTCTCTCTCTCTCTCTCTCTCTCTCTCTTGGCCGCTCACTCCCTCTCTCTTCGTCGCCCGCTCCCGCTTGCACTCTCACTGCTGCCTGATTGCCCGCCTACTACGCCTGCTCTCTCTCTCTCTCTCTCTCTCTCTCTCTCTCTCTCTCTCTCTCTCTCTCTCTCTCTCTCTGTGCTGCTGGGCACACCAAAGTGCGAATGTATCTGGTCCATTCTTTGCGCCAGATACATTCGCATGTTTTTTTTTGGGCAAGCTGATCTTCTCTGTATAGTTCCAATCCTCTCTCTCGAACTCTCTCTCTCTCGTCTCCGCCCACTCCCTCTCTCTCTTCGCCGCCCACTCCCACTCCCGCTCGCACTCTCGCTGCTGCCCGATCGCCCGCCTACGCCTACGCCTACGCCTGCTCTCTCTCTCTCTCTCTCTCTCTCTCTCTCTCTGCTGCTGCTGGGCACACCAAAGTGCGATTTCGAACTGCTCACGGCCCAATCTTGCAGTGGACTTGTTTCTGCGAATTCTGAACTGTGCAGCGGTCACAGGCGCAGTTGTCTCAAACAAAAAATCAGGAGTGAAAAGGACGTACTGACACAAGCATAGACGAAGAGGAAAACAAAGAATTCCGGTAAACGAAAGCTCGTATGGTTTTCTTTTTTTTCTTTTTTTTTTGAAAACAGGGGATCTATTCTAATTGTGGGCACTTGTTCTTTTTGCCATCAGTCATGGGATAATTGTTGGACATTGGACATTGGACATTAAACTCTTGGTGGTAGGGATTTATTAGTAGAAAGGGGGCGACGGGCAATGGATGCCACCGGATTTTAAAATCTGGTGGTAGGGATTTATTAGTGCCACCCACTCGGCCATTTTCTACCTCATTTAGCGCTGTAGCGCCAGATTCACGTTGTCCGCGGTGAAGTTTGGGCGCAATTAACCAAACAGGTTTGGGCGGGGGCTGCTGGTTGTCACTTGTGCACGGTTTTGGTCTATCGAATGTTTTCCATTCTTTTCTTTATCATTTCTCCTTTTTGTTTTTCGGTTTTGAAAAAGCTGTCCTCTTCTCATCCTCCCTCCTGCTTCTGCCCGGCATTTGTGCACAATTTTTATGCAACGTTGTTTGTGCCAGTTTGGCAAAGTGAATGCGCTGCTTGTTCATACTAATGGCGTGTGATGTATCGCGATGGCCCTAATGGGTTGTATACTGTGTACTATGTCCAAGTTAGTAATCATGTATTGTGATGGGTCGTTGTGTCCAGGTGGAGCCATCTCCTTCATGGGTGTGGCCTGGTGGTTGGTCAGACACGTTAGGGGAGACCAGCAGCCTCTTCCAGTTGGCGCGCTTGTGGCTCAGGCTCGTGCATTGGCTCGCCAGCAAACAAATGCCAGTTGACGTCAACTAGAATCTCCAATCTCTGAGATTGATAACGCGGTCATGGGAAACAGCACCGAGGGTTCGCGAGGAAGACGACAGCAACGTGGAGTTTTCGACTCCCTCGTTCATCGGAACAGAACGTTTATAAGGTCATAATAGTTGGAGCTGGGGAGTTGTGCGGAGGGGGTATTCTACAAATTTTCCCAAGTTGAACTGTTTTTTTTTCCCTGAGAACATTCACGGAGAGGTTAATGAGCCAGTTGAGGTGGACTTGTGGACAGCCGGCCGAATCATTTTTTGCGATGATTGAGATTCGTGAGTGGGTGGAGAGTTGTTCTTCTTTATTTTCTGTTCTTTTTTATTTTCTGTTCTTCTTTTTTTTTCTGTTTCTCCAACTTTTCCGGTCGTCTCATTTTGCGTCTAGTTAGTTAAGTGACTTAAGTCCACCGACATGACCAGAATCCAGATTGGTTGCAAGTGCGTGGGTGAGGAGGTCTGCGTTTTTTTTTTTCTGTTTTTTTTTCTTTTTTTTTGTCCTTCTTTTTTCGGTTAAATATTTTCCCTTTAATTGAATCCGGTGTATCATGGGGATAGCTGCGATCAGTGCGAGGGTGTATGGCTGGCGATGATCATGGTTACAATAGCGGTGATGATTGTGGTCCTTGTGGGAAATGAATCACTGAATTGTGGTAGGGGTATTGTACTATTGTGAGGTCGAAGGGACAAAGATCCCCGATGGAGGACGAGTGCAAGCTTCCACAACACCACATGCTGAATTGTGTGTTGTCAACTTGTCAACGAGTTTTCAGTTTTGGGCTGTTTACATATGCTGCTTTGTATCAATGATAGTATCAATGATTGTCGTGCACTTGTGCCTTCGCAACTTGGAAAAGGAGTTCGGACCTCTCTCTCTCTCTCTCTCTCTCTCTCTCTCTCTCTCTCTCTCTCTCTCTCTCTCTCTCTCTCTCTCTCTCTCTCTCTCTCTCT